CATTATTTATATCTTAAAACAACGCCCTTACAATATTTATCAGTTCACTAGTTACAATAAAATCATGCATTATAGCTATTTTTATTTATTTATCCCTGGTGCTTCAAATTCAATTTAGGGTGCATCAACATATTTAAAAATATGTTTTAAAGCTTTAGCTCATTTTATTATATCTTTCTACCATAAATAATGCCCGAATTTAAGTATACCAAAGGTTAAAGAAGAAATATGAATAGTTTTTGAGTCATTCAGATATGACTGTCAAAATTGTCATCAGCACGCATGTTTTTTAGGCTAAAGTCTAACCAGAAAACTTAGTGTCAATACATAATAAAATTTATATTCCATTAATCAATTCCATTCCGCCATTGATTTGTCATAAACTCGTCATTTGTGTTCATGGGCATCAGGGTCGAGATGGCAACGTTATATGTTTTATTCGTCTAATTTACTATAAAACACCATTCGGTTCGCGTCACGGGTTAACGGCATATTAATACTTTATTCACTGAGATGGTTCCTTTACTTGTGGTTTATTTTTCGAATTGCTTTTTGTATTTTTTTTACAGAGGTTAAAAGTTTAAATGGAAACATTTAAGCACCTTCTTGTAAAACCGTTGAAAGATTTAAGTGTGTATTAGGGTGTTAAAGATTAAAAGTTATTCCCTACAAGGTGGTCCCCTACGGTTCTTACCATACAATTCAGCTGTGAAATAACACAGTTTCTTTCATTATGTGTACAACAATGAAACTAGTTCAATTGCAATTTGTCTAAACCACGGTGTTGTGATGTATGCATCTAAATGTTTCGACGACCCACCAATCAGTAGTAGCATGATGATTAAATTTATCGGACATGGAATGTGAAAATGCTTTGGAACTTTCAACTATAACACCTTGCACTAATTACTCAATATAAGCCAAAAGGATCCACCTTGTTCATTTATAGTCCGGCCCTGTCTTCAGTATTAAAATATTATAATGTCTTCAGTATTAAAATATTATAATGAACACAAAGTATATTAAGTAATCCGTATAGTAGTAATGTCAATCACGGATTGTGGTTTTTTTTTTGTTGTTTGTTTTTTTTGCAAAATCCAAAATAATTACGATGTTGTTTAACACTCACTTTACTTTGGTTACCGGCCATTCAGCCATTCGGGTCGTACATGTGTGAAGTATACAGTCATATATACAAACGCATAACTATAGAAGCCTATAACTACAATTCTTAATTTCTACTTTTCGCCCTCCAAAACACGAAAAGTCTTAAAGTAGCAGTCGCGACAAAATGTGAGGCGACAGCACGCTATACAAGCCAAAATCTTCTCGAAAATAGGAAATTAAGAAATAATACACTGCGATAATAGCGCCCCACGTTTTTTCCTAATTTCTTATTTTCGACTTGCAGTTTGGCTTGTATACCGTCTTGTCGACTTTCGACTTAGTCATATTTTTGTATTTATTGATGTTAGTAAAATGTTACTATGGAGAACGTAAATTTCAGATTATTAATTCCAGACTTCGTAATTGTAAAAGTGCTCTAAACTTCCATAGATTTGTAATGCATATTTCACATAATCCGACATGGAGATGTGGCCATACTCAAGAAGACAGCGACCATTATTTTCTGCACTGCCCAAATTATTCGTCTCAGCTTATCTCAACATTAAATACCATTCCATTTAAATCCATAAATACAAAAGCGTTCCTATATGGCGATACCAACGAAAGTAACTCGTACAACGAAGTGAGTTTTAGTAAAGTTCACAAGTGTTTAAAACTAACCGAGCTTTGAATAGATAAGGTAATTGGCAGGCGACGATGATTGATGTTAAATAGTGATGATGATGATGATGATGATGATGACGATGCTGACAATGAAGATGATTTATTTATATATTTATTTATATATTTATTTATTTGTATAAATGTAAGATATAATACCTTTAAACTATTCATCAAAGTAGTTTAAAATCCATCAAACGGTTCAGACGAAGCCGAAGATGTAAAAATTAACTGACTAACTATATTGAAATTTGTAAAAGACACATTCTTTTTGAATATATGTTTAAAAAATAATAAGGTAAGTACAACAGTCCAGTAGGTTTTGCAGCATTGGAAAAAAACATATTAGTAACACTTTTTCAACAAGCAATTGTTATACTTTTAGTGATTTGTAGAGCGTCAAATCACAATTTTATTGTACAGTTTTAAATTGTAGATTGTATTCATTCATGTAAAACATTTATTACAATTTTATAATAAAATGTATAAAACACTGAGTTCGAGATTCAAATCACAAATCCACCCAAGCTCGAAAACTGGAAATCTGAATATTTTTGTTTATAAAATATTCACTTTCCATTCAATAAATATTCCAGTCATCTAGTTTTCGATTTGGGGAAATTCATTCTCCTTTTCCCATAAATACAGATTGCCGTATTATTTAAAAATCAAACCAAACAGCATGTAACCAAAGAACGCTTATATCCGCCATATGTAATATTGTCACGTGACATTGTTATGTTTTGTTTCGCTTGGGAAGCGTTTATTATACACAATAGAACTCCAGTGTAGTAAGCCATAACTATGAACAATATCATGTCCCAAATAAATAACCTAATTTGTAAACCTGCAATTGGTCACATGATGGTCCGAAAATTATTTGTATGGCTCTATAGAGCGTACCCGATACATGACCTATATACATGCCGCCGCCATGTTGGTGGACAACAAAACGCGGCCTCTTCGTAATCATGGTAATAGATTTTAGTACCATCCAACATTGATTGTTTTTCAGAGTAAATAAATATAAATACGCCAGAAAATAATTTACATCTTTGAAAAGAGCTATGAACGTGCTTTTCAGTGATACGTAATATAATATCTGGAATTTTGTATTAAGACCCATATTTTTAATTTAAATACCCTATTCCCGTCAAATAATACGAGTTTCGTACCACACTGGACTTTCATCGCTTTTCAAGGCATGTAAATATGACTGTCCTGGAAAATTATTTATATACTTGAAAGGGGCAATAAACATGCTTTTCAGTGATAGGTAACATGATATATTATGTAATTTCGTATTCAATCTATATCAAATCGAGCAATGTAACAGCGCTTCACGTTTGAGGCGATCGATCGCTGTCGCTCAAATGTCATTTAAGACAGGTTTTTCATCGCTCTTCCGTAGATAAAATCGCTCTCGTCATTTCTTACAAAATTGTCCCCCCCCCCTCAAAAAAAAAGAAGAAAACCCCGAACCCCCAGACTGCAAATAAAGCCCAAGTTAACGAATCCACGAATATCGTCCAATGAAAATTTTATTTTTGGCACCTAAAATAAGTAGCCTTTCGCTGAATTCGATACTCGGTTCTGGAATCACGATGCCTAAAGTAAATATGTGCTTGAAATATTTTTGTTAACGTGAAATTATTCTATTAGTTCCTTTTTTTTTTTTTTTTTGTATAGGCCTTATGGCAAATTATATAGCAACTGCACATCTACGGTACTACATATTGGTCATTGAGGTTATCGATCTAAAATTAATTCCAGCCAATAATACTACAAAGTGTGCAATATGCAAATAAGATTGTTCGCCTTTGTGCTTGCACGCTGTTAGCTAATAGTTACTGGAAATTTTCCGGCGTTTAGACGGCTCTAACCAATGATAAAATAGTTGGCGACGCAGCGGAAAGTCTGCATTTTTACGATATTTCCTCTTGATTAAAGATGAATAACAGAAATAATAAAATGATTATATCGAATCAGTGAATAATTATTATACCTCAAATTAAAATTTACAAAAAAAGAAAGAAAATATATCCAGTGAGTCAGAACAGTTTTTCAAACGTTCGATTCATCATCACCCTACGTACGGTATCGAGCTTCTCACACGATTTTCTATAATAAGTGTGTGTGTGTGTGTGTGTGTGTGTGTTTAATTAATGGGTTTGTTTTGAAAAAAAATTAAATAAAAATAAAAACTGAATTTACATGGGTCTCGAAATGTCGCGTCAGCAACTAACCCATTAACTTATAATTTTCCACGTCAGACATTATCCATGTAGGTACACAAACACGATGCAGCTAGTTCGCCTATATAAATAAATATAATGGTAATTTTTTAAAAAATACTTAACGCCGTAGAAACAGAATTTTATATTATTTCATATTAACAAACACAACACCGCTCTGTCGCTATAAACGCGTTATATGCCACGATCGAATTCGGATTTTAAATAAAGAAATTATTTTATACCGGTTATAGCCTATAAACAAACATCGTTTTGTCGCTATAAACGCGTTATGTCACGGTCGAATTCGGATTTTAATAGAAATTAAATATAAAATTTAAAATACATAGACAAAATCTTTATTCAACATAAAAATCACATGACAAAAGCGCAACAATAATAATTCCAACTGCAATCACTTTGTAACTATCGGATCACGTGTAGTCTGGTTCTCCACCGAGATGGCGGCGGCCAATGTGTGTGACGTCATGTGAATTAACTCTTATTTGTTGACAGCAAATACAGCTAATAATTATCTTGGATAAAATACCTCGTTTAGTAAACAAGGCAATTTTACCCAGCATCGTTCTGAACAAAATACCTCGTTCCAAAAACAGGGCAATTTAAAAAACCACATTTTGGAACTCCAGACAAACGAGGTATCGGGGCAAAAATTTTGAAACGTTTTTGCCTCGTTTGGACAGAAATGCCGAACGAGGCATTCTGAGGTTTATAGTGCAATATCTCCATTTATACAAAAAATGTGAATTGAACATTCTGGAACTCAGACGGATATGTTAGTCCTAAAGTAACCTAATAAGGGGATACCTTCTATTTGTTTTATTTTTTAAAATTTTTGATTTTGTTTTAGTTTTTAATCCTGCATTCGTCTATGTTGTCTTTTACTCTTTCTCAAAAACCTGATTTACCTCATTATATATATATATATATATATATATATATATATATCTTTTTCAGACCAAAGGTATCAAGTGGAGGATTAACTATAGTAGCTGATGCCAGAGAGGGTATAGAGGCACGATTAGGTAGAGAGGTTGGCGACATGCGTGATGCCAGAGATCGAATATCGGATGCCAGACAAAAATTTTCTAGTGCTAAATCTAAACAAGATCGAGATGAGGACTTTTCTTTCTCTCATTCTTCAAATGATTTACGGTCTAAACTTAAAAGACGGAAACCAAGTTCTATGGACAATTTACCAGGAATTAAAATAGAGATATTTGATTAGCAGTTTGTGTGGATAACATGGTTATATTTACAACATTGTATGAAATAATTTTTAAGTTAAAATCATTTTTGTGTGAGTGAATTATTGTGTATGTGTCTTTTGGGTTGAATGCACAGCTATTGCTTAGCTAAAGTTGTCTGTTATCCATTTTGAATATCTAGTTATGGACAAGTCCAGCCTTTACAGATTCTTTATATTTTATTCATTATTTAGTATTAAAAAGTTTCATCAACCATGCTCAAGCTGAATTACAAATCAATTTGTCCTGTGGACCGGGTACAGATCCCCAGAAGCTATTCAGTAATATTCATCTTGATATTCTTAATTAACTTTAAAGAGGCATTAGGTAAGATTAGATAAAGGGTTAGTTCTTGCTATAATAGATAATGTAAACAGAATATGCTGAAAATTTCAGTCAAATTGCTTCACTCTGGACCGAGAGATTAGTGCTTCAATTTTAGTGTTAGTACGATAATAAACAAAGTCTCGATTATCCATTTATACATTAAATCATCCATCACAATATGTAATCAAATCCACTAAATATCTTGGGCTAATGATGGCGTCTAGAGTTGATTATGATCTTGATAAGTTAATTAATGTCTAGTTAATAACATTAACTAACATTTAGATAACATTTAAGGCCTAAATAAAGACCTGCATTAGGCAGATTTAGCTCTTGCTTAATGCATACTTATGTGTAATAACAAATACATGCCTGCTATGATATTCTGACAGTAACCTTCATCTCCACTATAAACAAACAAGAAGAGTCTTGATTACCCAGAGCCAGATGTTTACGAAAAGTAGCTCCAATAAGTGATGAGCACATGAACACAGACAGTTACCTTGATGACATCTTAGTTTATTTACCTAATTAAAGACGATATAATTTGTACTGTGAAAACTTATTTAATAATAGATTATACATAAAATATAAAAGAATCTGCATGTTTGTAAATATTAAAGACCCCTAGTGTGATTTTAGCGTTATAGGAATCCCTGGCAAACTACGGGTCTCTAATTGGAATGTCAGTCCAAAAATGGTTCAGTTCTGCTCATTATTTACAAAGCTATGATGAATTGAAATTCCATCGATCTATGCTGCTCGCTATGTAACAAGCCTGCCGTCATCTTTATCGGCCGCGAAACTAAACTGATTGAATCCAAGCCAGGTTATCTGGTGTGTTTTTTTTATTTGTTTTTTTAATTATATTTTCCGAAAAATTATCCATCGTTACTTTAATATTTTATAATTAAAATGTCATGTCCTTCAAGAATTATCAATATTGCATTTCTGGTTTATCAGCTTCTTAAATTGATAAAATGCTACTTTTAGCTACAGGATGATCTGTGCATTCGACTCAAGAGATTACATAGTGTGTGTATGTTATATGGGGAGAATGGTTCATTTTATTTTAAAGAGAGAAACAGGTGTCTTATAACATTGTCATTTATACATCACTGATTACTTCAGGGATCAATTTACCATGATCACATTTGTATGTTTGTACACAATAACGATTGTATATTTAAAGGAACTTGATGACGTTTCATTACAGCTTTAAAAATATAATGAATCGTAAGAATAGCATTGATTTATACATTGTTTTAGTGGTATTTTGTAACTGAATAACACATGACACAATTATTTGGAATACAAGTTACTTAAAAGTTTATTTCTGGCGAGGGGGGGGGGGGGGGGGGTGCCGAATGGTTAGCATGTGCGCGGTGTATCATACCATCTGTCATTGAGTCAACTGGCTGCGTTTTGATTCCCTGTTTTAGGTGACAAGGAGTAGAGTCGCCTGTCTAACATCGTGGATTTTCTGTGGGTCCTCATGTTTCCTCCCACTGCTGAAGACCCCTACGCACAAGCGAATTATTGAAATAAAATTGAACCATGTGTTAGTCCCGAAATGACCTAGTTTGTGTCGAGTTGACCTTAATACCCATTTCTCTCTTTCTCAGTCTTTATTTCTGGCGAGGGTTTTTTGTTTGATAAATATGAGAGAACCCTCATTGAAACGTCGTCAGAAATATACTTCTCTAAGTAACTTGTATTCCATATAATTATGTCATGAGTTATTTATTTATACCATTGGGTATCGACATCATTATGGGGACCAATTGTCTACATGAGAAATTTGGTCATATGGTGCATTCTAATGGCTTGGATGATTGTAAACAGATGATAAGATCTGATAATCTATTTAAGTTTAAAGAGTTCAAATTTTCGCAGTTTTTTTAAAGATCAGGACTGGTCTAAATACCACAGATTATTGCCAAATCGAAATGGCATGCTGCTATTTGCTACAAGTTCCTTTAGCAATTAAAAGAGGGAATTCTACAAACGTATATATAGTCGTGTTGGAGATTTATGTGGCCGTATGTCAGTGACATCTTGCTTGGATGCTATTTGTCTTATACACTTCCCATCAAAAATATCTTTTAAAGTTACAATTTCATATTTTTAAGTTATATTTTTAAAATGTATTAAAATAAAGCCCTAAAATAGATGGTATCTATAAACAGTCCTACCTTGTTAAAGAATAATCCTATTAATCCGATAATTCACTATTGCCAGTGGCAAAAATATCATTTTCAACTTCAAATTCAAATGTTTGAAGATAGCTCATGGTGGGGAATAGGAAAACAAGGGAGGTAATTGTGTTATTATTTCCGGTGTGATTTTTTAAGTGTGAGAAAGATAACCTATGATCGTATAATAGTGAGTTGACAACCTATTGAGCAAAAGACATAGAAATAATTATGTTTTGACTTTCTTAGAAAATATGAAATTGTAACTTTAAATGTCTGGGGTTCCATCTTTCTGTTTCTAGTGAAATTTGATATGGACTTTATATGCAGTAGACACAGGATAAGTTAAGTTATACCTCAATTCATCATTTATTATGAAGTTAATCCCTATTCTATATCTATGAATTACTAGATCATTTCAAATTTAAGTATATACTGTAATATATAGTCAAGCAGTAGTAAGAAGTTTTATTTTAATCCCTTCAAGTGCCTGGATGTTCAGTTTAGCCCTGTATTTTGCAGATGAGTGGATCCACTGGTCATTGTGGCTGGTCGTTATTATTTCCTACACATGGAATCATACATAATTTCACTTAATGGTCACCAATTTTCATTAGGTACCATGCCGAATACTACATTATGTAAGATTTAGATATAGAGATGGCCAATCTTGTAATAACAGTTCAAAAATAGATAATGAAAATTGAAAATGTTGAAATTGTCATTCAAATTACTTTATTCTGAGCAAAGTTATGGATGTTTGAAGATGTAGCAACGATACTTGACAATCGAGACAAAATCAAATCTTGATTATCCGTTTTATTGTTAATTTAAAATCTCGTGGGTGTTCTAATCCATTTAAATCTCAGCCATCCGATGGTCCAAAGAGTTGATTATAGGCTTGAGATGAGAATAAATGTCTAAAAAATAGTTTATATAAAATTTGAAGCCAAATAAAGGTCTGCAGTCGTCAGATTCAGGTCTGATATAATGCATTTCAATTATAAAAATAAGTTACTTTCTGCGTTCCAGTCAAGTTGTGACAACAAGCACTTCAGATTCAATCTAATTAAATAGTCTTTTTTAAAAAAAAAAATGATGAATGATTAAATTGTTGATGTCCTTGCAGTTTGCATTGAAATATTGTGGTTAAACGAACTTTATAACTTATTTTAAAAATGAAATTATTAAATGATTGTTTTTATATTAGAACTTTTACAATTACCTGTATTTTCCTTAAATGAAGATATGTTGATGTAATGGTTTATTTGTATAAAATCTTCAATAATATTAGCCGTGTTTAGTCGCCCTCATACCATCATACACCCCCCCCCCCCAGCCCCCAGCCCCCAAAAGAAAAGGGATAGTCCAGGCCTGTTGGAACCTTGTAACACATATTAATGTTATACACGTGTGTATGAAGTGTTTCACGTTTAATTTTACACAATCACCTTTGTACGTGGATGTATTTGTATTATGTTTTATTCGGGCCACAGTGGCTAAGTGAGTAATACGCTGGTTCGCTAGTCTGGAGGTCGCGTGTTTGATCCCTGCATTGGCCGAGAAAGTTCATCAGGGAGAAAGCTCATCATGACGGTTGGCCTGACAAGGACAGCTGTATTGTCGTTTGGATATGACTAAAAACCAAAGTCCTGTGTATACATTGGCATGCACGTCAAAGACCCCTTTGCAGTTGGATTTCGATATAATTTTAATTCAATTTGGATGAAACTTGAAATATATGTTTATATCCCAAAGATAGGTTCGATTTCGGCACCTATCGGACAGGAACTATAACTTCCTGAATTATTGTCTCTAATTATACTAAAATCTGCTCATGGAGAAATCCAATCATAAATATCAACAGCGCAATATACACATTACGGGGGCAATGGACATTTTAGGGGGAGAGTCCGATGGGGGGGGGGGTGCTACAAGGGTCGCGGTGGTTGTCATTATCAAAAGGTCCCGGGTTCCAATCAACGTTGGACTAAGTACGTAACATGTTATCCATCTGATTGGATGGAATACCGAATTACATACCAGAAAATGGCACATGGTTGGTATATTACGCAAGATTAATAAATCGTAAATAGCTTCAACGTCACTTGACTTCTTAATTTATATCCTAGACAGATAAAATCGTCCCGTCACTTTTATTCTACTTTTTCTTCAAGGCTACGTGAATATAAACACACGGTCTCGACGATAAGCTGTTAAATGCCAAACATTTCAGTTGTCTCTTGGACTTCGCAATGTTTTTGTGTCTTCTAATATGGTTTGTGCCTGGAATTTTGACATCAACGGTACACCTCTATGTAAGCCCGTTAGGTTCTGACTCTAATAATGGGTGAGTTGTCCAATTCTGTAGATTATTATACTAGCGGATGACCCGGTGCTGCATGGGTTAAAAGTACTATAATTCCAAAACCGGAAGCTAGCTACCCCTACACACCAGTTCAGTTCAGTACAGATTCGTAGCATTCAATTGAAAGAAAAGTAAAACTAGATGAAATAATAATTTTTGTTTTCACTTTGTCCGTCTGCTCGAAAAGTCAGATTGCCCGAAAGTTAGGAGGATGCTGCCCCCCGCAACCGTGGCTCGTACGCCTATGCTATTGGGGATTATATTTCCGGACTGTTAGTTAAAACCCATTCTATATCTCGAACATCAAGGCATTGCAGTAGACATAAATTTAAATGTATAATGACTTGCGTAACCAAGCAGGGTGTGGGTAGAATCAACACAGGGTGTCGGATAATCCCTCGGGGGCATTTAGGAACTGGATAGAACAATAAACCATATTTTCTACATTGAGTTGCTAAATCTTCATTTTGATGATGTAAATAACCGGTTATTCAGGAGACGTACCCTAAAAAAATAAGTAACATTTAATGTTTTCCAAGAGATATGTAATAGCGTTTTGCTCAATCCAGTTTATAGATGCCTTGAAGAAAGGAATCTTTCTATCGTCAGCATGACATCGAGACTAAATTGTCCTCCATAATATCGTTAAAAGACTGAAAGGAAAACAAACATCACCCCAGCACGTGACCACAAACGTGTCACCATTTGACTTTCACCAGCTCCGTACCACGCAGCGTAAGTACCTAAACGACACCAGAGAGACATCCGGCTATTAACGGTAAGTTTTGGCTATGGTTCTTTTTTATAGAACTAGTCGAACCACATTCCCGGGATCATGATATAGCAACCATATATATCAATTTGAGATGTGACAGTTTCGGCACACCACAGGGCATCGAAATGTTGTGCCTGGAATTGTAACGCACACCTTTATTATATAAACCAGTTCTCTCTATAGATTCTGTTTCCCGGTTTTAAACATTAAAACTGTGAATTTTTCATTCACAGACTTGATCCTTCAAATCCAGTGAAGACGTTACATAAAGCAAGGGATCTACTGGATGAACCGACAATTAGAGGCAAAGGTATGTGTGTCTTTAACACTCCCTGACAACTGGTCCTGGGATCTGATAAATGAGGGGAAGGGGGTGGTTTCACGTGGGTTTTAGATCACATGGTCTGTCAAGTGACGTGGTTTCGATTCCCCGCTTATATGTAAAAACGGGTCTTCCGTTTTTCTTCTACTGCTAATAAAGACACCTACGCGCAAGCGAATTATTAAAATAAAATTGAACCATATATGTTAGTACCGAAGTGACCTTGTTTATATCGAGTGGGCGTTAAACCCCATTTCTCTCTTCCCTGATAAATGTCGGCTAGAGGAATGTCAAAATCTTAAGCTCAATTGTTTTCAGACAAATATACATCTCCTCAAACAGTCGAAGCCCCCGTCTGATCGCAGAGCAATTTATATATTTCAGAAGTTTACGTTGAGTTGATGCAAGGCTATCATGATCTACCCACAGAGCTTAATTTTACCCATGGCTATTCAGCACCTGTTACATTCAGATCTTATCAACAACAAGAAGTTCATGTGGTGAGAACAACTGATAAGAATAATAATGTTTTGCATGACTTCCCAATATCATTTGACACCATCTATATTAATTTTTACATAAAAATTATTATTTCTATTTTATGACTTTTATGAATATAAATTAGTATGCATTATTCAATAATTAAACTTCAATCGTCCAGACCATTGTTCACAAAGAGGTCCTATGCACATATTGGCCTGCACGTAAAATAAATCTCGATAGCTGGAATTTGAAATAAGAGTAGGCCGTAGCGCTGCTCTCCGAGCAAAACTGTCCTCATAGCACACTGCATGGCGTATATATAGCCATCTTTATTAAGCCATGTGGTGCAGAAATGTAGGACGTTAAACCTCATTTCATTTCATTTCGTTGGAATCGCTAGGACGAAGATATAACTACAGAAGCAAAATCTAATAATTATTGGCGGATGCCTTTAATAGACTGACGATACATGCTTAATTATTGCATGTGAGGTCTAATAACAATGAACTAGAAGCCAAAAAATCCATAAAACGTCTTTGTTCATGTGACCAAAGCGCAGTCATTTTCATTATCAACAACCTGTCCGGTTAACCAAAGTCGTCTGTAGTGCTGATAGTTGAAAAAAAGAGCCAAGAGAATTAAACATTAAAAAGGAGCTTTGGTGGATCCAAACGAAATGGTAGAGGAAAAAATTGGGATGGTAAGAATAAAATAAGGAATTTGTGGTTGATATAAGGTATAAATGAGGCTGGGGGTGGTACAATTTACATATGAATCCGAGAAAAAGGAAACAAGAATCTGGGAGTGATTAAAACGAAAATGGTTTATGGGTACAATGTCTATTATGAGTTGGGTCTATTTATAGGTTAAGATGGGGTTTTGGTTGATTTAAATTGATTGTATCTCATGATTTTGAGATTATAATTTGTCATTATTTCAGACGGGCGGGAAAAGAGTAGCATCTGACTTCTTTCGTCCGGTAACAGATCCAGTCATACTCGGCAGAATACCACAGATTGCTCATGAAAAGGTAAGCTATATATGTAATAAACTAATAGACACATTTAGCAAGCATCTACATAATTTATGTTAGCCGTTACATCAATATAAGATAAAACAAATAAATACAAGTATAGGTCTAAAATACACTGTTTAGCTTCAGTTTGTCCGAACAATATCATTATTTGAAGGTTAAAATGAAACATAGAGTTGTGTACATATAAGTGGAATTATATGCGGTATTTTCTAACAATTGCACCAGTGGCTTTATGGATAGATTACATGTAAATAGTAGGGCACAAGGACGGAACCTTGGGGAACACCATCTGCCAGGGATCTTTGTGATTATGATGTGCCATTCAGAGAAACACCCTATTTCTATCAATGTTGTAAGATTCTAATAGTTTCAGTGCAACACCGGTAGCGAATCCGCATCCTCCAGGCTAGCGAGTCAGCGTCTTACTCACTTACTCACCGTGGCTCCATATATTTCACGAATAACCTTGTGGCACAAGCTCCCATGCCGTATAACAGTTGAGTTTCTAGTTTATATAGCCAAGTTTCAGTTAGGGCAACAATAAAATAGTTCATCTCTGCTATACTAGCGTGAACTACCTTTTGAAATGTTCTCACCCGTTATCATCATACAGGTGTAGTAAAGTAAACTTCTAGTTATAGAAATCCAAATGTTCATGCTTCACTTATCACTATTACAGTCAATATAAATATAAAATTTCAAATCTTGCAAAATACAAATTTTTTTCAAGCTAATGAAATATCAATACTGCTGCACAAGGTTGAGGTGATAGAAGTTAGAATGTTAAAATCCTTGAGAGAGCTTGTGTGGAGCAGCCGGGGGTCAAGGTAAGACGCTGGCTCGCTAGCCTGGAGGTCGGGCTTCGATCCCTGCATTGGCCGAGAAAGTTCCGGCGTTGTTCCCTCTTGTCAGTGATGCAGGACTAGCTGTCTAGTCGTTCGGATAGGACGAAAAACCGAGGCCCCGTGTACACATTGGCGTGCACGTAAAAGATCCCTTGGCAGTTGGAATTCGATATAAGAGTAGGCCGTAGTGTCGCTGTCCGGGCAAAATTTCCCTCATAGCACACTATGGCATATGCCCGTCTTCGTTAGCCAACTTCTGAGCAGAACACTAGGACGTTAAACCCCATTCCTTTTCATCCCATTTTCATTTCGTGTGGAGCAGCCATTTACGCTCACACACAACACTCAAGTTTTTGAAGCAGATAACACCCGCATCTTTTATAAAGTACTACATTGACAAGGAAAACGAAAGTTGAACTAAAAAACTATATTTAACAAATTCAATCATTTTTTCGAAACGTTCACAGAAAAGCAGACATATTGTTGGCCCTTATTTATCTATAATTTCAAGAATTACGATTACCTTTTGTAATAAAGCCATTTATATTTCCTATTGCAAGGTCCGCCAGATTCATTTGCCTGACGCCAATGTTACCGATTTTGGTACCATGTCTGTTTATGGATTTTATCGTCTAAGACTTGCACCATTAGAAATATTCATTAATGGCGCTCCACTCAGACTTGCAAGATGGCCAAACGAGGTAAGAAAATACAAAACAGTAGTAGTGGGGCGGGAACCCGGTTGGCTGGGTTGGAGTTTGCCGACCAGTTTTTACAGGTGGTCAATGTCGAGGTACATTTTTAATAAATGATCCCAAACGGACACCCATTAAAGTTTTGGTGCTTCTATCCTACTTTCAAGATTGTCGCCTCACTATACAGTGATTTCCCAGACAAACGCCCGTCTTAAGCTGTTGGCTTCTTCATGTCTCTGAATACACTGTTTGCATACAGCTTCGATAATTCAGATCGTGAAATACGGCGCTAGACCCATGCTCGGAGAGGCAGTTCATAACGGGCTTTGAAGACTAATACCCCTCCCCCACATCACACTGGCACACTCACTCACCTACCCATCTTTATACACACACAGGGTCAAATATCATTGGTTTAGTTGAAAAACTAAAAGCTTAGCTTTCCTGGGCCGTAACTTTGGTTCATTGCACGTGTAGATAAAGTGAGTGGTGAACAGATTCTGTTATCGAACTATTATCTTTATCTCCAATCAATGACAAAGACTAAGTGTAATATTTAATCAAACTAATCGTATTTAATATTTGCCGTCCAGTTTTACATTAACATAGTCAGTGTACCGGATGGAAGAAGGGGACTACGACTTGGTTATAATTCTACTCGGGATTCAAAATGGCTGGGAGAAAAAGAACCATGGGTTTATGGCTTTTGGTAAGTTTTAATTATTAACCGGTCTAATGCGGTGTTCTTGTGACTTCACGTTAGAATTTACTGGCGATAATTTTTAGCAAGCCTATTTTGTCAGACTGCCGCAAAACGTATCACTACCGGACCTTTTGAAACGTAACAAAAATCTACCACAAGCAGAAGCGTTTATTTTTGGAATAGTGCTATTATTTTTGAATTTTATAGTTAATTAATTTAGTGTTGCCTCGGCAGTTAACGACTGTATACATAAAGTTTGAGTGGGTCGCGAGGCTAAATAGGGTTAAAAAACAATCCCTATTTTAAAGCTTGTAATCTGCTGCAGCTTGAACAGCTGAGATGGTTTATTTATTTTTTAACATAAATATTTTTATTGCAAAAACGACTACAATTAAATTCCCCTATACACAATCTGACTAAAACACAGATCCTATTTCGTTTCGTTTTTTATAGTTCAAAATTTCGTTTTACTTGTCTTTACTACACTAGGATCTGTAAGAGTTGTTATATTACCGCTGTTTTGGTTGAAGTGAGGGATAAACCAATGAAACGGTCTGTTACGGCGACTTCTTGGCACGGAACTGTGGGTACACCACTAGACACGTCAACGCTGATTGATTAATCAATGTCTGACGTCATAGGGTCAAAGGCCGCTCGTACGACCCCTGTAGTGAAGGCCATCGAAAGTATAAAAAAACGAAACGAAATATAGATCTGTATTTTAATCAGATTGAATGACAATAGGCTTTTTGTACACGCAAAACATAAATTTATAGAAAATTGGCAATCCTTGGATGAGATTTGACGTGTAAATACTGAAAATATATTGTGCAATACGTTATGCAAATAGACTAGAGTCGCCAAAAATAAAATCTGATTTTAGTAACCCCCCCCCCCCCCCCACACACACACACTTTTAGTAACTATGGAAATTTAACGTTGACCCAACGAGAGACTCACAATCGGTCATCACAAAATCCAATGTGCGAATTCGTTAAAACTTGAAGTGATAAACAGATTCACAAGTTCACATTTCCTAAAATAAATTCGTGCAGGTATCACTAACTTTTACCCATCTAACTAGGTATTGGAGTTGGGCTGACCAATCAGTAAAAGTTGCCAAGATTGATACCAGTTCCCACGAGATAACATTTACAGCACCAAATAACTACGGCTTAAGAGTTGGTAAGAATTTTATTGTCGATAAAACTTTCATTGTCTAATTTGTGAAGTTAATTTGATGGGTTTTTCAAACTGAAAGAAATGTGTGGCTAGATAATATGACATTAAAATTGTTCTACCCTGCATTGTCATTGTCTTTTATTTTAATTTACATTTAACTGAAAATAGGCTTTTAAATAACACCCAAATGTTGATTAAAATAGGCTTTTATATTTTACCAAACTGTTGGTGTAAATTCGGCTTTTAAATTACATGTACACCTTTCTACAGGTGTAAAACAAACGTTTATTAATTTGTATATAGTTGTTTATTAAAATAGGCTTTTAAATTACACCAAAACTGTTGATATAAAACAGGCTGTTACTTTTCACCCATTTGTTGATTAAAATTTATAAATAGACTTTCAAATCGCTTTACAGCTACCGTGGTTAATAAGAAAAAGAAGCTGTTACATTTTTAAAAATATATTTTAATCATCCATCATTGATTGGTATGCATTTGTATGGAAATTTTAAAATGTTATCTTAATGAGGAATTAGTAAAATGTAAACCTAATTAATAGCGTTATTTTCATGATAACGCACGACCCCGCTAATCATCGGAATTCCATGCACCGATCGACTTAGATAACATTATTTCCAGGACCATTCATTAAAACTCCTCACTAATTGTATACATTCGCCAGCCGACTCGTAACTTGAAGTTATATAGTGTTTTAAAACATACCTGGTGTACCGGTAAATATTTATTTCATTAACCGGCGAAGACACACAACTATATAATCTGGTAATCTAAATTTCAGGCCATCTGCAAAAAACTGATAATATCCGTATAGGATATTCTGACCAGGGTGGATATTTCCGTGTCATTAATATTCTGTCTGAATTGGACCAACCGGTAAATAGATCATTCTCCTCTTAGCTTAAATTGGGACTATTACCCAAGTTGATGGCAGTGTCAAAAGCCCAGTTCATCGTCCGTCTGTTCTGTTTATCACGTCGAATTACTTCTCCATAACCGCTTGATGGGTTTTAAAATAAATAATGGTTATTTTTAAACCTAACACCCTATTCGGTATTTAAAATTCTTAACCCGAACCTAATCATCAGCAAATCGTTAGGGTTATCCTTACGCAACCATAACCCAACGAATAATTCCTTTCTGAACATTTAAAAAAAATGTCCATCTGATTCTAACAGTGTTTTTAAAAATGGACCTAGTAGCAACCAGAACCATTAAATCCAGCGGGAAATTAGGAGGCATTATCTAACACCCAAAAGAAAGTAAGGTGATGGTTTAAGCTAAGATCTTTAAAACACCGATTAAAACGTAAATCTCTGGAGATTATGTAAAAATCGTTCATTCTATGTTGAGGGATACGAACCTTAATAGGCCTTCCGTTTTAATGAGGCTTCTGAACTTCTTTCAAACAAGATACCATTACAGATGATTACCCGTTCCATCTGCAAAGCTCAATATGTACAGAAAACCTTGTACAGAACAAACTGTTACCAAAGGTCGCCCCCCCCCCCCTTTAATCCCAATCTGGAACAATCTTGAAACTGGTATCAAAAATGCAGTCTATAGTATAACAATCTTAAAACCGATATCTAAAATGCAAAGTCTATATAATAACATTTTTAAACTGTGATCGTTACTCTTTTCATTATAGAAATCCACTGTCCCAAACAACGGATTCATTTGATACTTTGGAATTAAAAATGCACCTCATACATAAATTATTCAATTTTCAACACATTACGAACCCTCATAAATCAAAAGCCTAGTAAAATAACTTACAACATGCTTCCTCTCTTTGTTTTTAAAAGCGGCCACTGGTAAAATAAACTAATTGAATAAATCTATGTTGTTTGATTGATTGTCTGACTGTCTGTTCAGGGTTGGGGGCTGCACTAGGGCCGTCCCGGGGTGGGTAGGGGTAGCTCGGACCGGGGAGTAACATATGCCTGGTGACGATGGACTACCATTTCGGGTTTCGGAGTTATGCTACTTCCGGTTCATACCTATACCCGGCGTAGCTAGTATGACGCAATAATTGTCATTACTTAGAATTGAAATGAAATGAAATGGGGTTTAACCGCCTGATGTTCTGCGCCGACTGGGCTAATGAAGACGGTCACTATTTGGAACTAAGCCAAAAAATCAGAAATGCGTAAAATGTACATATATTACTTTTTAGGGAGAATATTTTATCGACAGATCAACGGGTATTTTGTATTTATGGCCCAATACTCCAACAGGTACACTTCAAAAAAGTGATATTATCTACGTTTCTCTACTGGATGACTGCATATCGTAAGTAAAGCAAACTTACTTTGGTATCAACCAAAAATTGTTAATATCCCGATTCTTACCACTGAAAATATTAATATTCCGATCTTACCACTGAAAACACCCTAGTCTATCTCAATCTTACCACTGAAAATGAACAATTACTAACTCAATCTTACCACTGTAAACACCCTAGTCTATCTCAATCTTACCACTGAAAATGAACAATTATTAACTCAATCTTACCACTGTAAACACCCTAGTCTATCTCAATCTTACCACTGAAAATAAACAATTACTAACCCAATCTTACCACTGAAAAAAATAAACCGAGTCTATCTCAATCTTACCACTGAAAATAAACCCAATCTTATTATTGAAAAAAATAAACCTAGTCTTATTGAACGCCAATGTGTACACGGGACCACTGTTTTTCGTGTCATCCGAACAACTAGACAGCTGTCCTTGTCAGGTCCTCCATCCTGCACCACTGAAAAGGGCGAACCACGTCGGAAAATCCTGATGAACTTCCTCGGCCAATGTAGGGATCGAACACGCGGGTTCCAGGCTAGCGAGCCAGCGTTTTACCCACTTAGTTTCCTTATCGATTAAAATTTCAACATGCACTAATTTTCCCCCGTCTGTCTGTCCGTCTGACACATTTTGGGACGCAATAACTCTCATTCTAATTGGTGCAGAATGTTCAAACTTGGTGCAGGTGTTTATTAGGTGCATACCTTGATGGAGTTCGAAGATGAGCATTTCCTGCGTTGGCTAAGCAGAGGTGAGCAGTTTGGTTGGTTTGACGATGAGCATTTGCTGCTCAGGGTAATCAGAACGATTAGCAATTTGATTTTGGAGCTCGATAGCTTTGATTCTAATTGAGTGAGAGTGATGAAACTTTCTGTATAGTTTATTACGCCAATACTTTGACTAAGTTCGATGATGAGCATTTTCTGCTTAGACTAAGTAGAGACTTCAATCTGATTGGTCATGAGTTCCATCATGCGCATGTTCCACTAAGTCTAAGCAGAGATAAGCAATTTGATTGGTTGAGACTTTGGAACATGATCACTTTGGTTCTAACTGGATGAGAGTGACAAACAAAGTAGCGATAAGCAATTTGATTAGTCAAGACTTTGGAACATAACATCTCTGCTTTTAATTGAGTTAGAATGTTTAAACTTGGTGTAGATGTTCGTTAGGCGAATATCTTGACTGAGTTCAATGATAAACATTTTCCGCTAACGCTAATCAATTTCATCCGTCAACGCTTTGGATAAGATAACTTTGATTCTAAGTCGAGTTTCACTACCAGGTTCTTCAAAACATTGACTGAGTTTGATCGGGAACAGTTTCTGCTTAGAATAAGTATGGGTAATCAGTTTGATTGTTCGATACTTTTCAATAATATACATATGCAATCAATTAATATGTATCATTTATTTATTTCGGGATTGCGGCGGGGAACATCAATCTCACTGTTAGCTTGTTTATCTTTTGTTGATTCGTTTGAAGTAGACAATGTTTGAGAGAGAGAGAGAGAGAGAGAGAGAGAGAGAGAAATGGGGTTTAACGTCCACTCGACACAAACTAGGTCATTTCGGGACTAACATATGGTTTTTAATTTTATTTCAATAATTCGCTTGCGCGTAGGGGTCTTTAGCAGTGGGAGGAAACCGGAGGACCCGGAGAAAACCCACGAGATTGGACAGGCGACCACAATGTTTGAGTAAATTGTGGCTGCGTTGCTCTTAGACTGAGTAACCCAGACAACTACCGAAGTTCGGCAATCGGCATTCCTTCATGAATTCTGATAGTTTCCGGCATATTAGTATATGTATTCCAATATCATATATCTGCATGCAGATATCATGCAGGCGGAAGGGTACATCTATAAGTATTTCCCATCCTCTTATATTTTCTTTGCTGCATTTGGATTGAATTGAAATATATTCTAATGTTTCTAGCTCGTGCACAAATTTACCAATTCATATAAATTACGTAAATGTAAGACTAAAAATGGCCACCGAACTAAATAAGAGTCCTCAAACTACGCGAGAATATGAGCCCACTATCTTTGAGCCTACCAACTCCTTCACAGCCCATCCCTGACGAATTCAATTGCTGAAATGTTTGTGTGTGCATATAATTAGTGAAAAAACCTCGATTAACCAGAAATGGGCCGGATGAACATGAAAAAGCCTACAAGTAACTGGTTTAGGCTGGCTATAATTCAGACACTAACATTTCCTAATGACAGCCTTAAACACAAATATGGCAATATCGCTTTAATTAATAATGTATTACTGACAACCAAAATTTAAATGTGAATATTTGTCAGGTTGGCAGAAGGAGTGAGCAACATAACATTCCAAGATTTTACTCTCGAAGCTTGTCGTAGATATGGTGTTGTTGGAACTAGTTTACAAAATGTTACCTTTTCCAAGTTGGAAGTAAAGAATGTCGGCATGTATTTTTTATATATAATTTCGAATGATATTTGTTATGACTATGTCAACTAATAGGGGTGTCCGGGGTTTGTTCAGCGTATTGGTCGAGAATTTTTCTCGGATATTCCCGCATTGTGTTCAACTGACCCAATTTGATCCCCTATTTAGCCTACAAATATTGCGCTTTTCGTTTGGTAAAAGTGTTCAGGGTAGAATGTGTAAATAATGCCTCA